AGATTAATTACTTATATTTTAAAGTATTTAATTAAACTACCTTAATAATATATAATATTATTAATACCCTAAAATATAATATTATCCTAGGTATACTATAACTATACTAATATAAACCCTTAATAATATAAAGTAAAGGCTTAATTTATTAGTAAAATAATAAAAAAACTTTAAATTAAAAAAAGAATAAAGGAAGTTAGAAACCTTAATTCCTAAAGCTTAAAAATATCCCTATATAGTATTAATAGAAGTAAATAAAAGTTATAAAAGCTTAATTCCTAAAAAGGTTTACTAAAGGGAAATAAAACCTATATAAACTTAATTAATTTTTAGAAATTATAAAAAGAAAATATAATAATTAAAAAAAAGAAAAGGAAAAACTTATAAACTTAATAACTAGTATTCTAAAATAATATTAAAAATTTAAAGCTTTATTTTAAAAAACCTTAAAGAATTTTAATAAAAGTATATAAATACTACCTTATATAAAATAAAACTATATAATAAAGTTAAAGAAAAGGAAATAACTAAAGTACTTTTTATTATATAATCTTAATTAGTTAAAACTAAATACTCTTAATAAATAAATATAAAAATAAAAAAATAAAAAATATATTAGAATTTTTAATTCCCTAGTATAATACTTTATTATCTTTATCCTAAAGAAAAATAGAAAATTATAATTAATTATTAATTATAAATAATTAAATAATATTATAATTAAAGATTAAACTCCTTTACTACTAATATCTAAAGTAAAAAATCAGCTATAAAAAGCTACTATATATACTTAATTAAATCTTACTAATACCTATAGATTAACTTAAATAAAGGAAGGATATAAATAAATAATAGTTTTTAATACCCTAGGAAAGTTTTATAAATTCCTAGTAATACCTTAAGGACTAATAAATATACCTATATCCTTTTAAAAAAAAATTAACTATATCCTTTAAAAATATTAAAATAAATTTATTATTATATACCTAAATAATATCTTAATATATTCTAAAACTAAAAAAAAATATAAAGAATATATATATCTAATACTTTAAGTATTATAAAATAATTACCTTTTTATAAACTCTAAGAAGTATTAATTTTATACTTAAGAAGTAAAATTCTTAGAATATATTATTACCCTTAGAACTATATAAATAAATTTAAAGAAAGTTACTATTATTAATAAATAACTAATACTAACGTTAATTAAAAAAATATAGAGTTTTATTAAATTAGTAAATTATTATTAACGCTTTATTTAAAACTTCTTAACTTTTACTTAACCTTTAATTAATATAATAAAAAAAGATTAAAAGTTTAACTAAATAAAAGAAGCTAAATAAGTATTTTAAGTAATTAAATAAGCTATAGCCTTAGAACTTATACTAACTATATATAGCCTTAAGAAACTAGTAAAAATTAAAACTAATATATTAAAGTATATAATTAAAGGAGTATTAAATTAATAAAATAATAAAAAGAAACTCTACCTTATAATATTCTACTCCTAAAAGCTTAATAAAGCCGAACTTAATTATATAGTCTATAATAAAGAATTCTTAGGAATTAAAAGCTATTTAAAATAGTAAAGCTAATACTATAAAAAAAGTAAATTCTAAATTAAGATCTTTATTAATTATTAAAATATTACTTACTTTATATCTATTTAAAAACTATTTAAATAATAATTAAAATACTTTAAATTCCTAAGTAAATTTAACTATAAATTAATATATTGTAAAGGATTAGAAAATAAAAAAGCTAATATACTTAGTAGAAAAATGTGACAAGCTAAGCTCCTATAGTGTTAGTATAAAAGGAATTCCCAAGGGACAAACCTTATACTAGGTTTATGTTGGCGGATAGGCTAGGCTGGACTGGCGGGCAATTAACAAGGATAAAAGGGGTTTGTTTACACAACTAGTAGATAATACTTTATAGGTATAATCAAGCGTTATTCTATATTTACAACTGGCTATCTAAACTATTTTAAATAAGTATTGTGAAATGAATATATAGTATGAAGCTTACTTAAGCTTACTCGTCCTGGAGTAAGCTGGTTTCCTGTTTAGGAAGTGGTTTACTTTAGCTCACTTACGGTTGCGTAAGCCGTTCTATGATTGGTCCCTTGGCCTATTATAGTTCCGTGGTGCCTACCCTGTAGGCCTGCTGTTGCGACTATAAATGTATTGGTTTGTAATACAGTACTCCCCTCCCGTTAGTCTTATCCTCAAGGCCTAAGCTGCTACCTATATAAACGTCGCAGCCCCCTTATTACTTCAGGTAAGTACTTTTCTTTTCTTTAATTACCATTATGTCTAACTGCGTAAAAAAGCCTAAATCTAAGTCTACGGAGAAACGTTATTCTTACGCGGCTTTTATTTATTTTTTTGGTTTCGAGGTGTTGCCTTGTTTTCGTTGTCTAGGCAAGCGACCTTGTCTGGCTGTTAAAGGTGGCGACTTATGCGCCTATTGTTACTATCTCGGTCGTTTATGCAATAGCTCTTTTGTCCCTATGTCTTCTCGTAAGTGTAGCGTTTCCTATTAGGTTGCTATCCGTGCTGACGCTGTTCTAGTTAACTGTATTACGGAGGAGCTTAAATAGCTAAAGCGTTAGGAAAAGCTTGCGGAGGAGGCGTTAATTGCTTAACAGAAACGTTATAAGGAACTTCTTGCTTAGCAGAAGGCGGAGCGCGACGAGGCCTTAGCTTGTTTTATAAGGCTACGGAAGCTGCGTCGTCTGCTTTGTGCCCGTGGTGTAGAGATGGTGAATCATAGGTTAAGCGCCGAGGAGATAAAGGAGGCGGATCGTTAGGAAGAGGAAGAAAAACAGGCCGAGCTGGCTTGTGTATAGCGTAAGGAGGCGTAGCTTCTTTGCAACGTACAGTTTATAAGCAGGGTTAAGTGGCCTTCCTTAGACGCTGATTTAGTGTTCTTAGGTCTAGATCCTCTTGCCTTATTAGAGGGTGCTCCTTTATTGTTTTCTTAGGTTTTGTAGGGCGTTTTAGTTCTTCCTATATTTATTTTTGTTTTACTTATAGTTATTTACGGAGTTTATTTTAGAAGGTTTTTAGGGTAGTGCTAGTATATTTAAAATTACTTTCTAGTTCCTAGCTGTCTGCGTTTCTGTTATATTCTTTTTATTCCACTAGGTATTAGAGTTTACCGGTTGCTTTATTTATTTTTAGCGATATTATTTTATTAACCTTATATTTAAGTTCTTTGCCTTTAATAACGATTTTATCCCTAATAAGTTCTTCTGTATTTTCGTCTATTAGTGCTTTTTTTAATAGCGAGATATAAAAAATCGGGTAGACTAGTTTCCCTTGTTTATTTAGTTGTTCTAGGAGGTCTAGTTTGTAGTTGACTTTACTGATTTTCTTTAAAATTTTATAAGGCCTGACTTTCTTATAGTCTAGCTTATCGCTTAGCCTATTTATTTTAATGTTGGTTTGTTTTTCTCCTTGAGTGTGTTAAAGTAGGTAGACTATATCTCCCTCCTAAAGGGTTAGTTTTTTAAGCTTTTTTTTATTTATATACTTCCTTATGTATTTTTGTATAAGTTTAAGTTATATACGTAGTTCTTAGTGTAGTTCTTTAAGCTTGTCTGCCTTAAGTATAGCTTTCTATATATCTTCTCCCTTTCGCAGTATTTGGTATACTTGTAGGTGATACCCTTTATTAGCGTAGAATGGTGAGAGTTTTGTTGATTCTAAGACTGAATCGTTATAGGAGAATTCTGCGTTGGGTAAGTGTTTAACCTAGTTGTTCTAATTAAAGTTGATGTAACTTTGTAAGTATGCTTTAATGATCTGGTTGGTGTGTTCCGTTTGTCTATCTGTTTAAGGGTGGTAAGCGGTGCTGGCTTTATGGTTTATACTTATCTTTACTATAGTGCTTTACTAATATTTAGATATAAACGTTAATCCTCTGTTGGAAATAATTTCTGTAGGTAATTTATATTTTAAGGCTATATACTTTTGTATTATATAGCCTAATTCTTCTGCTATACTTCCTTTTTTATATAGAATAAAAATACCTTATTTTATTAATTTGTTAATAATAACGAAGATACTATTATATATTATATTTATTATAGGCTTTTTTAATAGTAGTAGCTTAATAATATAATTAAATAAGATAGAGCTTTAAGGGTGCTCTGGTATTAGTAATAGTTGCAGTTTGCCGTAAGGTTTTTGTTAATTAGGCTTTGTTTTTATGTATAAGATGTATAATTAAATAATTCCTTTAATAACTTTCTTTATACTTATGAAGGTATAATACTATTATACTTATTACAGTATCTTAGTAACTCCTTTATATCTGTATAGCGGATACTTATAGACCGTCTTTATTACTTCCTTCTACAGTAATTCTAGTACCTAGATTTTTTCGTTCTAATATAGGGCTCCTTTTATAAAGGTTATATCTTCGGGGAATTAATCTAGCGTCTAGTTACTAACTTTATCTTTAATTTTATTAAGGATAGGGTTTCTATCTTTAATCGTAAAAAGGGTGTTAATAGCTACTAATTTATAATGCCCTTCTGCTGTTTTTTGAAATATTAATAAGGTGAGTTTTAGTATTGGTTCGAAGTGGTTTTCTCTGTAGCTGAGAGTATTTACGTAATTATTTTCTAATCCTTTGCAGGGTATAATCTTAAAGTCGTACTTAGCCATAAGCCTAAGATACTTTTCTTACCGTGTAGAGATATTTATTTCTTTTATAGTAAAACTTATAAGATTTTTATAATTAGAATATATAGTAATCTTATGCTTATTACCTAATAGGTATGATTTTTATTCTTTAAATACTTTAAAGATAGCTATAAATTCTTAGTTATAGGTAGAGTATTATAGTTTAGGGCTATGGAGTTTCTTAGAGAAGAAGGCTACTGGATATAGTATTCCTTTATTATCTCATTAGCTAAGAACTCCTCTAATTATATAGTTTAAGGCGTCTGTTTTAATAATGACTGGCCTTTTTAGGTTGTATATTTATAGTACTGGTGCATTAGTGATAGCCTTTTTAAGGGCTTTAAAAGCTTTAAGGGCCTTTCCTATATATCTAATAGGTTGGTTTTTCTTAACTTTGTCATTGGGATCCTTTTTAGTAAGGTCCGTGAGTGGTATTATAATCTTACTGTAGTTCCTAATAAACCTTTGGTAGTAATTCACTAGACTAAGGAAGCTTTATACCTCCTTTACAGTTTCGGGGACCTTCTATTCCTTAATAGCTGCTATCTTAGCAGGGTTTATTTTAATTCGTCTTAGTAAAATAATATATTTTAAAAAGTTGACTTTCTAGATATAGAACTGATATTTCTCTGGTTCTACTAGTAAGTTTACTGCTTATAGTGTTTCTAAGACTTAATGTATATATTGCTTATGCTCTTCTAAGGTATTAGAGTAGATTAATATATTGTCTAAGTATATAATAATAAACCTGTTAATGTATTCCTTAAGGACTTTGTTAATTATTCTTTAGAATATAGCTGGTGTATTAGTAAGTCCAAAGGGTATAATTAAATATTTAAATAATCTATAGTGTGTTTTAAATGCTATTTTCTATTTATTTTCTTCCTTAATTTAAATAAGGTTATAAGCTTTTTTTAAATTAAGGGCTGTAAACTATTTTACAGTTACTAGCCTGTCTCTAATCTTAGAGATTAGTGGTAGCGGTGTTTAATCCTTAATAGTGATTTTATTAAGTTATTAATAGTTAATAACTAGTTATAACTTCCTATTTTTCTTTAGTATAAATATTACAGGGTATCCTGCTGATAAATTAAAAACTTAGATATATCCTTTTTCCAGCTGTTTATTTAACTATTCCCTTAAAGTCTTAAGCTCCTTTTTATTAAGGTTGTAAATCTTATAGGTCTTAGGTTGTTTTCCATTTACTAACTTAATATAGTAATCCTACTGTAAGTATAGTAGTAACCTAGTGTTTAGTGTTGCCTTATATAGCTTTTGGAACTTCTTATACTAGCGAGGTATTTTAGTAAGAGTATTATTAAGTTCTCCTAATTCCTCCTTTTCTTATACTTTGCTTAGCGTATTATTAAGTACTACTAGCTTGTCTTTAAATCGTATTGTAATTCTATTAATACGGATGCGTTCTGCTTTCTTACGTCGTTTATTATATTATAGTAGTATTAGTAATTTATTTTCTTTAAACCTAACTGTTTTTATTTTCTTTATAATTAGTATAGAGGATTTTAGTTCTTTCAGCGGTGTAGCTTCGCCCTTTTATTCTCTTTAGTATAGTTAATATTTAAATATATCCTTAATATTTTAATAAACCTTCTTAGTCTTCTATTGGATAATAAGGTTATTATTAAGTAACCAGGGATAGCCTAAAAGAATGTTATCTTTTGGTATATTTAGAATACTAAATTAAATATTATAGGTATTCCTATTAATAATTACGGGGAGATAATTAGTCTTATATTTAATAAGTCCTTTTTCTATTTCTGCTCCTATAATACTTATAATTTATAGCGCTTGTTTTTTTCGTTAAACGGGGATTTATAGTTCCTTAATTAGTCGTAGCGAGATTAGATTATAATCTACTCCGCTATTAATATACGCAGTAACGGTATTATTATTAAGTTATACGTTAATTCTAAGTTTCTTTATTTTAGTTATTTTAACTATGTTAATTTATATATCCTTTTTCTAGTTAAGATTATAGTTATCTTTAGTAATAATATTAAGGTCTTTAATTATTTATTATTATATTTATTACTGTCGGAGTTTTTAGTACTATTAATATTTGTTAGTGTTAATCTCATCGATATAGTATTTATAAAAGTGTTTAATATCCTTTTAATAGGTATTACCCTTGTCGTAGGTCTTAAAGTTAAATCTATTATAGTATAACCGGTATTAGAGTTAGATATATTTTTCTTTTTCTCTAGGATACTTTTTATAATATTTATCTTTATATTACAGAGGGTTGTTTTTAGGACAGGCTTCCCTTTGTATATACTATTCTTCAACCTTATAGTCGAGGTGTTGTCTATATCCTTAATTAGGGCATTAATTTAGATCGATTTCTGTGTAATTTTTATTATATAAGTTTCCGTATTGGATTTAGAGGTGCTAATTGTGAATTTTTTATTCCTAGTATTTTTTATAGAGTGTTTTATAGTATTGTTTTGCTGTTAGATGCCTATAGTCTTCCGTAAATGGGGTATTATATATAAGCTGTATTTCTTCCTATTTAAGGAACTGATCTTTAGTTATAATAGAGTAGTAGGGGTTTGCATTAGCGCATTCTGCTAACCTGTTGTTACTTAGCGCTTATCGCTGGGTAATTTTATACTATTTAAGTATCTGTTGGAATTTACTTAGGTCTTGTTCTTAAGTTCCTTCTAAACCGTAGTCAGAGGGTTTCTATTTACAGGGGTAATTTAGTCCCTAGGGTTCTTACGATCTATAGTTTTCATATAGTTCTGTAATATTAAGGTCGGTATAACCTGTCTCCTGTCTAGGTTTTTCCCTCTATTTGCAGATAAAAGCGTTTACTTATTCTTTTTCTATAGGTAAAACGTTAAGGGCTTTATCTTATGCTTCCTTATATTTATCCTAAGTTATATTAACGTTTCCTAGGGTAGTAATAGCTATAGGTATATTATTAATAGTCTGGTTGATCGCTTGTTGATTAACTTCTTTGGATATTATAGTATTAACTATGATATATTTTAGCTGCTTTTTCTTAGGTGCTTTAGGATATTAGTTTAATATTTTTTTTTCTTTTTTATATATAAGGCATTGCTTATTATAACACCTAGTCTAACTAAGTAGGTTGTAGGGTACTGTTTTAATAGTATTAACTTAGACTTTATTAACTTTTTTATTGTTATTAGACTTTTTAGAATCATTAGGTCTCTTATGCTTCTTCCAGTAGTTCTTTTTTTTATAGCCTATTTTACTATAGTAGTTATATTTACCTATAAACTTATAAGTATTAATAGTATTTAGATCTATAGGTCCTGGTTTTTTATTATTATATAAAGCTATATTATGCTTCCTTCCTTAGTTAATATATTATTAGGAGTTTTATTTAAGTTATTAAAAATTCTTACGTTTTTCCTTTTTCTTTTTTTACTCCCTTTTCTAAAGGTAATTATTAATACCAATTACTATTTAAGTATAGTTAATAAAGCTTACTATTTTTTTATTAACTTTATATAACTTATCCTTAACTAAGGGTTTAAGGCTTATATAGTACACTTCCTTTTTATTATCCTTAGTCTAATTAACTTTAGTAAGGAGTTATATAAACATAGTTATATACTTAAAGTATTATCCTTTTTATTTAATAAATTAAAGTTCCCGTTCTACTTCCTATTCCTTATTTAAGGTTTTAAATAATTTCTTAAGTTAATTACGGA